GCTCCACTTTGCTCCTTAGCGTTCGAACTCCCGTCCAAAGCTCCCCGTCCGTGGAGGCTTAGCCCGTCCCTCCTTTCCCGTCCTTCCATCACTAAAGTTCTGGATGATCTCATCCCCATGCTACCCCCCTCTCCGTCTCTCGAGGAATGGGACGAATGGAAACACGCCCTTACGCAGCGCTTGAAAAGATTCTCCAACCAAGAAAGGCGCCGTGTACACAAAACTTTAGAGCACCTTCACCATCTCATTAACCATCTCCAACTACAATCCGCAGTCTCCCCCTTGGACCCTGAGTCAGCCGCTCGGCTCTGCAAAGCCCAGCAACAACTCGCGAAATATACCGCATCTAAAGCTGTTAAACTCGCTCTCAAAGCTAAGCTCAAGGTCGAGAGCCACCGCGAAACGGGGATATCCTCTCTTCTTGCAGGACTCAACTCTCGCGTTAAGTCTTCCCTCATCTCCTACATCACCCTCCCTGATGGTCAAACTATTAGCGATCTCACTATCATGACTTCTGCCTGTTCCAACTTCTTCCAATCCCTCTACAGTGGCGACCTGCCTGCGCTCCATAACCCCAACTTCTGGCAACACATTCCTCGCTCCTCTCCCCCCTCTGCCGTCACTACTGTACTTGCAGCCCCTTTCTCCTTGCTTGAAATAGGGAAAGCCATCAGCCAGCTCTCGCGCGGGAAGACCCCAGGCCCGGATGGGCTTCCTGGAGAGTTATACCCTAAACCCTATACAAACCTCGCTTTACCCCGGTATTTTTGTCCTTACTGGCCCCGCATGACTTCCCCCCTTCTCTGCTCCCTTCTATGCTCTCCGGGCGTATTGTGCTCATCCCAAAAAAGGGTGATGCATCCTTATTAGATAATCTCCGCCCCATCACCCTCATGAACGCGGACTACAATGTACTGGCCATCTGCTTGGCTAACCGCCTCCAACGGCTCCTTCCTCTAATGATACACCCTTCCCAAACAGCCTTCATCAAACACCGAAAGATAGGAGACACAATAAACGATACTCTCGATATTATGGACTGGGCAACCTTCAATCAGACTCCCCTCCTCGCCTTGATAGTGGATTTCTGTAAAGCTTACGACATGTTGGACCGGCCCTTTTTATTCCAGGCTCTCACCGATCTCAATATACTAGAAGAGTTCATCAAGTGGGTTCGTCTCATGCACTCTAACACCTCTACTTGTATCTCCGTAAATAACATGGACGGTCCCCCTTCCCTGTACGTACGGGCGTTCGGCAAGGATGCCCACTCGCCCCTCTCTTGTTCGTCTGCGCCATCGAGATTCTACATCGTTACATATCCCTATACCTCCCTGGCTTTCCCCTTTCGCCCACGAACAAACGTCTCATGGCTTGCTATGCAGACGACGTTACTATCTTCCTCACGTCCGACAAAGAACTCGAAATTGCCATCACTCATCTCATGATTTTTGCGTCAATCTCAGGCGAACGCCCGAACTGGAATAAATGCTCCATCATTCCTTTTAATATCCCAAACGGCTTCATTACCCACGCTGGGCAAATCCCCATTCGGGCGCCCAACGAAGCTGAACGAATTCTTGGAATCTTTGTTGAGAAAAACCTTTCCCGCACTACCACTTGGACCAACACCCTCTCCCGCATTGAACGCTCTGCTAAGTTTTTCGCGGCCCTTCGCGCGACCGCTACGTGCCGCAAATCGCTCGCCTCCATCTTCCTCAACTCTATTCTCTCATTTCCCGGTCTGTTCCAACGTCCTCCACCTGACATATTTGCCAGATTAGATAATGTAGTGAGTACCTTCCTCTCGTCATCCCGATATAAGGAGACCGGATTCGCCATGCCTTATATCCCATACCGAATTCTTTACAACTCGACACAGCACGATGGAATTGGCGCTACTCGGCCTTCTATCCAAATTAAAGCTCTCACCATCCAACGCGCCCTCCGTCGCTTCGGTGCTACACCCTCTGAGGACGTCGCACGTTGTACAGTCTCCCTCCCATTTGGAACTCACGCTCTCCTCTCCCACAAGCTGATCTTGTCGGCCAACATTCTGCCTCCCTCCATTCCCCCACGGGCTCTCGCGAAACTTACAGAAATCTTGTCCCTTCCCTCTGCTGTGGCCCCTCCACCCATCTCTTCCCTGTGTCTCCTCGCTGAACCAACGGCGTTTAATCGTTTTATTCTCAAACCCAACGGCAGGCCTTTTGGGACCACCAAGTCTGAACGCTTTTTATTGTCATTGCAAGTCTGGCTTCGTAACATCATACAGGTATCCCTCAATGGACTTGGCCCCATCTCTAAAAGTGAGTTCGCCAACAAATTCCCTCGTGTCGACCTTAAAACTGGCTACCCGGTCATCTGTGCTATTCTACAGGCAGTTCCCAAGCCATGGCAGGATGAAATCCTTGCCCCTTCCCTTGCTGTTGCCTCTCCAGGGGACTGTTTTATTCCGAGTTCCGACCTACACTCTTCCCCCTCCCTCTTACTTCAAACAATCTCTTTCACCCCCCCTTTCTCGCTCTCTGCCACCCTTCATCGGGTATTGCCAAACGGTTTCTTTGAGCGCACCCCTCTCGGCTCTAGTACCTTCCACATTCAAGATGTTGTGGCGGTCCACACTCAAGGTCATTGGGTGGCTGGTCCGCTGCATACAGGTGCAGGGCTTGGCGCGCGGCTGGAGGTTCTTCGTGATGGCGTCCCAAGCCTATCTGCAATTCGACAACTACTATACACGCGACGGCCGCTCGACCACGACACCCGTTGGACCCACGCCCTCTCCTCCCCCTTACCCACTCCTCTCCCCGACCTCTCCCACGACTTTCTTCGCGAACAGCCCAGCCTGCAACGCGATCTACTCTTCCGACTATATACTCGATCTCTCCCTTCAGGGTCCCGGTTCCTGTTCTCAACGGATAGAGGCCGGTGCTCGCGCTGCCAGTCCCATGACATCGAGACTATTTCTCACATCTTTTTCACCTATGGAGCGGCTCCCACTGTGACGGCTGCTCTGGGATCCGTTGCTCGACGCCACTTGGGTTGCAGCCCTCCGACCGAACACATCTTCTTTCCGCTTCCTTCTCGATCTGGCCAGACTGCCCCGTGGAGTCTACTGGTCGGTGCTGCTGCCAAGGCCCTCTGGAACGCCCGCTGTGCTCAGAGATCTAACAACGTTGTTACCTCCCGCTTTGAGATCCTGCAACTCATCCTCGCGCAGTTTCTCTTAGCCTTCAAAATCTTCCTCTGGAGACGCTCTAAACAATCTGCCAAGAAACTACAGAAAACAGCGTCTCGCATTCAGGCGGCTGGCCGGCTACGTTTCATATCCTTTGCTGCTGATGGTTCCCCCACAATTCATCCGGACCTACGCACCTCTTGGCTGCTTGGAAACCCTTTTCGTCTGTCCTAACTTGTTACCCGGTTCGTCACAGAATACTCCCCAGCAAAGCTGATGGCTGTCCGCTAGGATAGGAGAATAACGTGTTCAATCACGTACGCCTATAGGACGTTGGCTTGCTTAGCTGTATTCTCAGTTATTCTGTGTTTTAATATATTCCATATTCCTATTCATAAGTGCTGCTGCCAGTTAGATGCTTGTTCGGATTTCACAGGGTTGTTTCTGGAGGGGCTGGGTTCGTTCGAGCGTGAATTCAATCTCCCAGAACGCGATGCCGCCCGATTTGGTAATTGACAAATTGGTTAGTATGGTTCAGTGCGGTTCTAATTGTCATCGAGGTTCGGCAATTGAAAACGTGGTGTGGAGCAGCATACGCGATTCCGTGGTCTCCGTGAAAATCGAGGGGATTTCCGGCCTTGTCAGGCATCTCCTGACGTCCGAACGTGACAGGTAGCCTTCCGAGCCTATCACAACCGACATTGCCATACCTGACATCCATCTGACAGGGATACCCCATAACAATCGCGGGTGCGTGTAACGAGTACCAGACCTCGATTCATTTTCTGTCCGTTGGGTCAAATGAGAACCTTCATTCCCTCGAGACCTCTGCGCAGTCGGGCCACCCCGGGGGAAATCGAACCAGTCTGCCCTACCGAGGCTGCAATCCGACCTTTCCGTCCCCTCCGACATCCCCGCCAAGTTTGACCCAGAAGCTGCCGGGCTGCTCGGGGACAAGAACCGTGCACGGAGATCGCGTTCCACCCTTCCCCACACATCAATTCAATTGCCTCGCCAAAATTCTATTGCGCACGGTACCGTAATCGGTTGCCATCTCGCTTCCGCTTCTGCTATGTTCCCTGGTCTGCTTCCTACCTGCCCAACGGTTCCTGCTTTGCAGCTATCGCATCTCCGAGTTTGTGACCTCATGAATCTACGGCTGGCCTTTTCTCGTCACCTCCGGTATTTGTACGGAGGCGGCTCCTCGTGTTAGTTCTTTCGCTCCTGCGTATTTGGCGGCGGAACGCGTTCGTAGTTTCTACCGGATGAACCCAGTCGAGTCTGAGAATATTTAGACATAGGAGATGCACTCCCTTAAAGGCAAATTGCTCTTGTTCTCGTGATTTCTCCGAGTGTCTCAGAGCATTGCTTGTGCAGCAATATTCGGTTTGCCTTATCATTTCTGGTTTCGACCTCTTTGTCCGACGAACAGCAGCAAATTAATCGCGATCTTGATTCATTAGGCTCGATCCGTCACTTCCAGTATTAGGTCAATAGTACCCTAGGACCTTCGACGTTGAACGGGTCGACTCAAGCTTTTGGTTGCGACGTTCGCTGAGCGCTGATACTTTCTTCGTACAGCTTTTTCTGACACACAACGAGTAAGGTAACCGCACTTTTGCGGGAGCCTTGAATTATTATCCCGCAGCAAGTGTCTTAGGTGGCTACTCAGTCGACTCAACGCTGCCTTTTAATGAAAGCGCTCCTTTGTTTCGCAGTTTCTTCGTCCCAAAGTCGAGATTTTCTCAAGTGTTGCGACTAGGTGCTTCCGCTAACCCGCCTTGTTATCCCATCCTCTTCTCCCCTTCCGTCCCCTTTACAGATGCTCTCGTTAGCCGACATTGCAATGATCGTCCCTCCGTCTCCAATCCCAGCTAAAGTCCCTCGACGGAGCTCCTATTTTTGGAAAGTCAGCACAGTGGTTCTGCTGGCGATATGTGGTCTATCACTGTGCATTAAATCCATATCACACACCGCATCCTCGTTCGACCTACTCTCATCTCTATCCATAGAAGCTGTTCCCATCGACACTCCCTCGCCTTCTTCCCAACCCTCCTCTTCCTCCTCCTCGTCGTCCTCCTCTTCCTCCTCCTCGTCCTCTTCTCCCCCCTCCTCCTCCTCCTCTTCCTCCTCCTCCTCCTCCTCCTCTTCCTCCTCCTCGTCCTCCTCCTCTTCGACTTCTTCGCCGTCCCGCTCACTCGCTTCCGAGGAAAGCGAGGATGAGAAGGCAGCTGCGCGGAAGGTGCAAAGAGAAGCAGATGCGCGGGAGTTAGAGAAGTGTCCCGCGACTCCGGAAGTAGAATATGGAGACTTGGAGCGGTTCGGCCAGCATTATCCTAATCCTCTAAACTACAGCCGAGAAGAATGCCTATGCAAACCCGTGCACAACTTCGTGGTACTTTCCATGCAGCGGTCCGGCAGCGGGTGGTTCGAGACGTTCTTAAACTCCCACCCGAACATTAGTAGCCACGGGGAGATATTTATAGTCAAGCCGCGGCGCGCGAACATGTCGGCGGTCGCGGAGACGCTTGACAGCGTGTACAATCTGGATTGGGCGAGCAGCGCCGCGAAGAACTCGTGCACGAGCGCCGTCGGATTTAAATGGATGCTCAACCAGGTGAGGGGGGGACCGTTGGATCGAATGGAGCGAGGGAAGGTAAGAAGTTGACGGAGAAATGGAGGGGAGTGAAGGAGGAAAGCGATCGGGGAGGCGGACGGAGGAAGGGTAAAGGGAGTGAAGGGAGGGAGGAAGAGGATGGGCGGGGGCGGGAGTTCGGGGGGAGGGAGAAGGGAAATGGAGAGAGGAAGGGAAGGAGGAAGGGGGTTATGGATAGGTGACGGAGAGAAGCGGACGACACGCGGAGACAGATGGTTGGCGGAATTTTCTGAAAGGGTCAAATCAGTCCCGGAAAGCCATTCCATATACCTTGACTGACAAACATGGTTTCCTCTTTACCTGAGCTCGGGCCATTGTTCGCGCGCGTGCTTCCCTGACTCGAGTCCTATTTATTCATAGCTTTTTGGGTCACTTACCTCTTCACTGATTTCTCTTCCCTCTTCCTTTCCCCACCCAAATGCGCGGTACTGTTCGCTTATTTTACTTACCTCTTCTCTTCACTGATTTCCCTTCCGCAGGGCGCGATGGAATTCAGTGGTGACGTGGTGGAGTACTTTAGGAAGCACCACGTGTCCGTCATCCTGCTTATCAGGAAAAACGTGCTGCGGCGACTCATCTCCATCCTGGCGAACGCGTACGATCGCAAGACGCAGCTAGTGGGAGTGCACAAGTCGCACACGCACAGCAAAGAAGAGGTGCGTCGTCGGCTCCAACAGACCTCCTCCTTCTTCTTCCCCTTCCCCTTGCTCCACACTACACCCCCCGCCTCGCTTCCCCCTAGTCCCCCTCCTCCCTACCTACTCCCCTCCCCTTCCCCCCCTTCCCCCTTAAGAACATTCCTCGCCCAGCCACTCTCTATCGTCCCCGCGTCGTCTTTCACAACCCCGCTTTTAGCCACCAGCATTCCGTTCTCGGGTCAACTTGAAAACGTTTTTGCCACCATCGTTCATGTTTTGAGTCAACTTGAGGCAACATGGTTCGCCACGATATTTTTCGCCTCCTTTTATCCTTCCACGCTGCACCCGTTTTTCCCCTCTTTTCCGCACCAACAACCTAGTCACCTCCACGCTCCTTTCCCGCATACACCACATGCAACAAGCATTGATCCGCGTGACTGGCACCAGTCCCGTCAATGCAAGTTCCCGCTGTTCGACTCGTGCTGGGTTTATGCAAGTTCCTGCTGCACGAATAATGCAAGTTCCCGCTGCTCGACTTGTGCTGGGTTTATGCAAGCTCCCGCTGCTCAAATAATGCATGTTCCTCCTGCCCGACTCGTGCTGTGGGTGTGTCGGGCGGTGCAGGCAGAGAAGCTGGCGACGTTTCGGCCGAACGTGAACGCGAAGCACCTGGAGGGCAACCTGCAGCGCGTGCAGGAGATGGTGGACGACGCGCTCAGGGCGTTCAACGGCACGCGCCGCATGCTCGTGTACTATGAGGACGTGGTCAAGAACAGGACGGTGAGTCGTGCTAGCGATGAGTGTAAGAATCTTGTTATCATGTGTCTAACGGCACGTGCCGCATGCTTGTGTACTATAAGGACGTGGTCAAGAACAGGACGGTGAGTGCTGCTGATAAAGCGCGTGTGAGAGATGATGGATGGTGCGCTCAGGGCGTTCAATGGTGCCAGGTGTGGCTCGTGTACTACGAGGACGCGCTTTTTTAGAATTCTCAAGAAACACATTCAGCGTGTACTAAGAGAGCTTTTTTTAAGAACAAGGCGCTGAGTGCTGGGAATGAGCGTGTCGTCCAATGGCGTTCAATGGCTCCGGGCGGATGTTCGGGCGTACTATTTGCTGGTGATTCTCAAACATGCCATGCCTTGGGGCAGTTAGGGTCTTACGGCTTCTGCGTGTGGCTTTCGTGTGGTATGTCATTGTTAATTTCTTTGGCCTCTGCTCTCCTGCTGTCCCTCTTTTCTCACCCTTCTTTCCACATCCCCCCCATTCCAACCCCTACTTTTCACTCCCTTCCCCTTCGTCTCTCCGCCACTCCCAACCCCAATCTACTGCCACTCAATCTCTCTCCTCTCTTTCCCCTTCATTCACTCGTTCTTACTCGCGCACTCTCACCTTTCCCAACACCCCCTCCCCCCCTTCCCCCCCCCCCCTTTACACCTTCTCCCGCCCTTCCCCTCCCCCCAGCCATCCCCCCACCTCTCCCCGCCTCCTTCTTGGGAGTGATGGCGCTGGAGCTGATAATGAGCAAGCCTCCCTTTTTTCCGCACTCACCTTCTCACATCCCCTCCCCTTGCTCTCCCCCCTCCTCCCTCCCCCCTCTCCGTTATCACCACCATCCAGATCCTGGAGAATGTGCAGCGCTTTGTTGGGGGTGCCAATGCAGGAGCTGACGAGCAACCCCCTCTTTCTTGCTTGCTCACCCTCTCGCCTCCCCTCCCTCTCCACCCTTCCCCACTTCAGATCCTGGAGAATGTTCAGCGGTTCTTGGGGGTGCCGACACAGGAGCTGACAAGCAAGCAGGTGAAGATCCACACGCGGCCGCTGAGGGAGACGATTGAGAACTATGATGCCGTGGCTGCCAAGCTCAAAGGCACCGAGTTTGAGAAATTCCTGGAAGATGAGAGCTATGGTTGATGAGGTGCGCGGTGGTGAGGTGTGACAGTCATTCCTGGGTGTGGAAGGCGGTGGCTTGGAGGCCTGCTGCCATGGTCACCTAGCCATGGAGAAATCCGTGCACAAGTGCAGTATGCATCGCACATAGAGTTCATCAATAGTGGCTATTTTTCCCCTCCTAAGAGGAGGGGATGACTAGGTAGAATGGAACAGAAGATGTTTTGTATAGGTTACAGTTGCTGTTAGAGCGCTTGAAATAATTGCAACCTACAATGGAGTTGCTATGCAATTTTTTATTCTGATTTTCAGTCCCCCTTTCCTCAATACTCAAACTGCAAAGTAATTTCATGCCATTCATGTGTAGGGCAAGTTTAAATGAAGCGCTGTTGCAGGTTTTGATTTGACTTCCAAGTTATGACGGTCAACGCATGCTCAAAATTAGCCAAGCATCGTATATCGCGTACGATCACCGTCATCAAACACCCATCACCCAGAACTGTCTTGGGAACTCCACGACGCCATGGCGGCTGCTCAGCTGCTGCTTGTGTAAGGTGCCTGGCTCCGCCTAGCTGCAGGGAGGGGATTCTGCACCGCCGATCTCCGCCATTGATTCCTCGATCGCGCATTTTCCGTGGATTCTCATAATTGATCCGTGGTGGTTGCACGAGCTGTCCTTGTTGCTATTTCCGCTCTCTTGCGCCTCGCGTCCCCCACGATCATCTCCACTCCGTCGCACTCCGTCGCACGATCAGCACCAGAAACGCATCCCATTTCAGCTTGCGTCTTCATGCATTTTTTTTGCAGTGACAGTATCCCACAATCGACTCCCACGCCTGTTATCTTGCGACCTCTAGTTCCGTGACTCGCTGATCCGTAAACAGGACTTTTAGGATTCATCCTGCTTCGCCTTCGACCCTTCGTTCGTCAGCGAAGCATTCCGTTCTTTCAGCACTCCACACCTGTGGCAACGCTGACGCCATGCCACGTGTCGATTTCCTGCGGGTCCGCCATGGCATCGCCAGGCTGGCTCGCGACGGACTCCATTCGTTTCGTCATCACCACCACGAGCCTTCTCACTCCGGAACTCGCGGCGTGACAGCGTGGCGGGCTGGGCTCGAGAGCGACGGATGCAGGGTGTCAAGGCTGCACGGGAGAGCGTTTTCAGATACAGCCTTGGCAGAGACTAGTTTGCGGGAGTCGCTGAGTTCTGAGACAGCTCAAAGCGTCCAGCAGCAGGCGGTGCAGCAGCAGTTGCAGCCGCGGAGATTCCCAGAGACGCCGGGTCAGGTGTCCAGATTCGTTGGATCGGTTCTTAAAGGCCCTCAAGAACCTTGGAGATCTCCAGGGACGTCAGCTCAGGTGTCCAGATTCGTTGAACCGTTTTTAGAGGCGCCTCAACAACCTTGGAGATCCCGAGGGACGACAAGCCAGGTGTCCAGATTCATTGGAAGTCACGGTTGCCAACTGCAGCGCGTTCCTGCTGCAACTGGTTCTGCTAGGCTAGCCACTCCACAGTATCACTGGCAGCACTGGCAGCAGCCGCAGCAGCAGCAGCAGAAAGCCGCCTTCTCGACTAGCAGTCTTCCCAATCACACCAGCATAACAGGCTCGCCTGGGCCCGTCCTTTCAGCTAACTCGCCTGGTCCCGTTCTCTCAAATCAGCCGTCAGCGCCGAGCCATGCTCCCACTCCGAGCAGTCGTTATAGTTCTTCCATCAGCCCAATCAGCCGAACCAGTCAAACAAGTCAAACCAGTTCCACCAGTCCCCCCAGTCCCACCAGCCCTTCTGGTCAATCAAGTCAAACAAGTCAAACCAGTCCCACCAGCCCCCCCAGTCCCACCAGCCCTTCTGGTCAATCAAGTCAAACCATCCCCACCAGTTCAAATGGTCAACCCAGTTCCACCCCTCCGAACGGCAGTGCCAGTCCAGCTGGCAGCAAGCAACCGGATCAGTTCATACTAGTCAAGGCAGTCTACGTGGCAAGAAGGTATCTTAAACCTTAAACCCTGAATCCTATTGGAGAGCTTAAACCCCGAGCCTTTATGCTCGTGAACGCAAGCAGCACTAGCCACATACATACAGCGCACTGGCGTTGTCCACAAACATGTGAATTTCCATGTGGGTTTTTGAGTCGACTAGAAAATGAACGCAAACACTTCTAGCCATGCAGCGCCCTGGTGTTGTCCACTCTTGGCTTTCTGTGTGCCCACTGCTTCACTCCTAAGTGTGCTCTCGGGATCGGGGTTCAGGGTTTAAGTCTCTCTCCGTTCCATCTCCAGCGTTTCAGATGCCATCTCTAACCCCATCTCTGCCTTGGTGCATGTTCTCCTTCTAACCCCCCCCTCTCTCCCCCCTCCTCCTCCCCCTCTTATCGTCTACAATCCATCCCCCCCATGCGCCCCCAGTCTGGACGTGAGGGGGCTGGCGGGGCCCAGCGGGTTCAGGGGCATGCTGCTGCTGCCATCCAAGAACAACGTCATCATCCGCTTCCCCAACCGCTCCCTGCCTCTTCCCGTCCATTCAGCACTCTCCAAGCCCGTGAGTACCGTGGCAGTGGTGTGAGGGTGGCGTATGGGTGGTGTGTGGGTGCCATGTGGGTGCCATGTGGGTGCCATTTCAGTGGTGCCTGGGTGGTGTATCACTGTCACTGGCGTGTGGTTGCCTTGTGTGTGTTGGCATGTTGAATGTGCTGCCATGGCTGGCGGGTCCCAGCGGGTTCAGGGGCATGCTGCCGCTACCCGCCAAGAAAAACGTCATCATCCGCTTCCCCAACCGCTCTCTGCCTCTCCCCGTCCATGCCGCGCTCTCCAAACCCGTAAGTGCCCTGTGGGTGCCCTACCATGTGGGTGCTGTGTGGGTGGCGTGTGGTTGGCATATCAGTGGTGTCTGGGAGGTGTGTCAGTGGCGTGTGGGTGCCTTGCGAGCGTTGGCATGCTGAACGTGCTGCCATGATGGGCTGGTGGGTTCCTTCGGGGTTCAGGGGCATGCTGCTGCTGCTGCTACCGGCCAAGAGCAACGTCATCATCTGCTTGGTGACATGCTACATTTTTTAGAATTCTCAAAAATCACTCACATCTGCTTGGTGACATGCTACATGGTGCCATTCACTACGGCCCCGTGGTCGTTATACCTTCCCAATTGCATGCCTCACCCCCCCTCATTCCGTACAACCCATCCATTCCCGTGCTCGATTGGGTCCTCCTTCTCCCTCTTTCAGCATCGCCGCCGGGCCATGGAGGCATGCACACCAGCGTCGGAGCGCTACATGGTGGCATTCCACTGCGGTCCGTGGCCTTTCCTCCCCATGTTCCCCTTCGTCGTTACCCCATGCCCATATACCCCTCATTTCAGGGCATGGAGGCATGTGTACCAGCGCCAGAGCGCTACATGGTGGCATTCCATTATGGCTCCGTGGTGTTTTTCAACTTTGACCGCACGGAGGAGGCGCTCGCGCTCGATATAGTCACGCAGCACTGCACTGGGGCGTTCAAAGAAGCACACAGTGACGGTGGGTTGAGTGACCTCGATCGATACAGTCACATGATGCTGTGCTGTTTAGAGGCACACATCAATGGTGCGTTCATTTTCCCTTGATAGTCACGTGTTCTTGTCATTTCTTTGAAGCGCAAAGCTACGGTTCCTCCCACATGTGCACTCCACTCCACGCAGAGTACAGTGTGATCGCACGGGCTGGGCTGAAAGGGTGGAGCAAAGGGGGCCATGATTACGTGGCGGTGAGGCAACCACAAAACACCCTGCAACTGGCCCCCCTGTGCTCCCGCATTCCTTTACCATGCAGAGTACAGTGTGATCGCACGGGCGGGTCTGAAAGGGTGAAGCGAGGGGGGACACGACTACGTGGCGGTGAGGCAGCTGGACGTGAACAACATCCGGGTCATCTCCAGTATCCTCGGGCAGAGCGTGGCTCTGGACCACTATGCACGCAAGGTGGGTGCACTGCGGTGGAGTAGGGTGGAAGTGGGGGGAGGGAGGTTAGAGACGATAGCATGACTTGAAGTGGGAGAGGCAGCTGTACGTCATCTCCAGCATTCTCGGGCGGAGCGTCGCTCTCGACCACTACGCTCACAAGGTGGGTGGTAGCTTTTGAGGCTCCTCAAAAGGGCCTCTCAGCCTCGAAAGGGCCTCTCAGCTTGGAAGCTGGGTGGAAGGGAGTGTTTGCATTGTGGGTGCGTCTGGGCTCTTAGTCTAAACCGCTGTATGTGGAAAGCAGGCGCAGAGACTGTGTAGTTAACAATAAGTTCTGCCCTGCCTTCTCGTTCCCCGTTCATTTCTGCGAATAGGTGGACGAGATGGTGAAAACGTGCAGTGAGCTGAATCGGGGCATGGAGCAGACCAGCACATTTACCATCACTGGGGTCTCTGAGGCTGTGTGCTGTGCTGCTTTGTGTTGCTTTCCACTTGCAGGACGAGATGGTGAACACGTGCAGTAAGCTGAATCGGGGCATGGAGCAGAGCAAGCGGCATGCTCACAATGACCCCTATTCAGGTCCCTTGCTCCCTTCTGCCTTCCCTGGTCCCTCTTTGTCTCCCTGCCTGCAGGTTGACGAAATGGTGAACACGTTCAGTGAGCTGAATCGCGGCATGGAGCAGAGCGGCACCTTCACCATGACTCGCAAGAAGCTCTTTCAGCTCGTTGCCGCTGCCAACACCACCCTCGCTGACGTCATCCTCAGAATAGGGCTGCTGGAGAGGTGCGATGAGATGGGGGCTCTTGTGTTTGTCTTATTGCCTTCCAGTATACATTCCATGAGCTGTGTGTCGGTATTTTCTCTGCCAGCCTTGTGTTTTTTTATCGCGTCACCCGTTTTCGCGTTTTTCTTGTTTGTTTGTTTGTTTGTTTGTTTGATTGTTTTTTTTTTTTTTTTTTTCAATTTCCCTCTTTTTTTTTTCCTGGATCGCTGGCACACGGCGTGGCGGCATGCAGAGTATTCCAAGATCTGGTCCTACGGGACGACTTTGAGCTGGACGAGCGCTTTGAGAGCCTCGATTTCAAACTCAACATCATCCAGGTGAAGTCCCCACACACACCCTCTCATTTCGCTGACGCTACTTTGCTGCTGCTGCTGCTGCGGCAGCTGGTGCTGCTGCTGTTGTCAGTTGATTTCTATGAATTTGCATTTTGAGTGGAGAGTGCTAAGCCTGGTGTGATTTGTGTCTGATTTTGTCTCTCTTTGCGTTTTCGTCTGGCAGCACAATGTGAGGTTCTTCTTGGATATTCTTCAGAACCGGAAGTCGGACACCCTTGAGTGGATTATCATCCTGCTTATTGCAGGCGAAATTTGTGTTAGTCTGTATGAAATCATATTCAGATCCATGGAGAACTCTAAATGAGTGGTATGTTGATTAGTTCTACAAGATATTAGAACGCTAAATAAATGCATCCGCATTCATGTAGATATGGCAGATTGGTGCGGTGGAGTGTGTATGAGATATCTAAAATGAATTGTACCCCTTACTTCAGCCGGCACTGAAAGACCGGGCGAATATGTCGAAAGTCGGATGCACTTGTAAGGAGGTTGGAATGATCGCATCACGATTCCCATCGAATTGCCGGGTCTCCTGAATCAAGAATTTGGAGTCCGCTTCTCAAGTCCCACCGCTGCAGCCATGGCGGTGACAGCTCGCCGTCGACGCCGCTGCAGCCTCTTCCTGCTCTGCATTGCCGTAATCCTGATCGTCGATGGATCTTCTTGCGCAGCGACAGAAAATGTCGCAGCGTCGCAAAACGTCGCAACGCCGTCGCAAGGAAGCGACGTTGCACGAAGTGCTACAGTTCAGGGCTCGAATGCAACAGCCAAGCGAGGTGTTCCAGAGTCGCTCGGATGGCTGATATCCTCGTTTGGCGGAATCTCTGATGATGATAAAGAGGATGATTTGTTACTTAAATCCGCGCTAGTAGCAGATTCAGCTTCCAGCAATGAACACAAAGACCCCGTAGATTCCGGAGGATCAGGTGACACGTGGACAGCCGAAGATCTCTGGGATGAAATCAGCGCTGACGTGGATCCTCTTCTGCTGGAGGCTGGATGGGGGGAGTATCTAAAGTGGATTGCGGATTCGGCGGGGGGGAATGCGACTACGGCGCTTCAAGCAACCACGGGGAAAGGACCCGTAAAGGTGGGTTAACCTCTCGTTTTGAACCATTGACCGGATGATCATCTAGGCAGAAAATCCCACCATTTGCTCCAACGGCTGTTCTGTTGTTGGGACGAATGGTAAGTATGCAGTTTGAATGACAGCTGTGAAGCTAGTAGCTTGTATCTGTTCCGTCCCGTTCCGTCAGCACAATGCCAATCCTAAGCATGCGTGCACAAGCATGTCTTTTTTCGGTCCTTTTTATTCCTCTGTGGCATGACTGGGCCATTATTGCTTTATCATGCATTTCTTATCCTGCTTGGCTTGTATGGTATGTATAGCATGTGTGACATGTATGGCATGTATGGCATGTATGGCATGTATGGTATGTATGGTATGTATGGTATGTATGGTGTGTCATGTAGCGTATTCATAACGGTATGCTTTATGCATGTCATTGCATGCCGTCTCGTGGTGGTATGCTTGAATGGCATGTAATTGCATGGCATGGAATGGAATGTGATGGCATGCGGTGCATGTGATGGCATGCGGTGCATGTGATGGCATGTGATGCATGTGGTGGCATGTGATGCATGTGATGGCATGTTATGCACGTGATGGTATGGAATGGCACGAGTATGCAGCTGCTGATGCTGAAGCAACGGTTTGTGCCCAAGCCACAACAGAAAGAGCAGGAGGGGGCTGAGAAGCGTGCAGAACCTTCTAACGAGGATGAGTACATGTGAGAAGCTCCACCTTCTGTTACATGACAACCATAGTTGTTGATGTTGTTTCGTTAGTTTTTGTCACCTGAAATCAAGCATCAGTGCCAGAAAGATCACGGCCACCAAATAATGCACTCAGTTGTCTTCCTCATACACGTCTCACATTCCCGTTTGCTTTTTCTCCCCCTCTATGCGCCTCGCCTTCAGATCAGACTCACAGGTCACCTCATTCTCGCTTCCCCTTCTGTTCTCTCATCTCCTTCCCATGCCATTTTCAGCCGTCCCTGGTTACCACCCGCCCCATTCGCTGGGGCCAAGTGCTCTTCTCCCTGCCCCTGCTCCCCCCAAGGCACCTCATTCATTCTATATTCCCCTATTGCCTTCCCATCTCACCCCCCCTCCTTCCCACACAGGTTCCTGCCATCCCTGGTTACCACCCGCCCCATTCGCCGTGGCCAAGTGCTCTTCTCTCTGCCCCTGCACCTCGCCTTCACCTCCTCCCTCTGCGCCTCCTCTCCCCCCAATTCGGTCCCATTCCCATCCCTCCCCGCGTCCCTCTCTCCCGAAGCCTCACTTGCTGTGTGCGCCCTCTCCCACCTCCACTCTTCCTCTTCCTCTCCTTCCTCCTCTGGCGCCTCGCCTCTCACCTGGGCGCCCTTTCTCCACCTGCTGATTCACCTGAAGGCGGGCCAGCGCCGCGCACTGCCCATGATGCACGAGGGGCTGGGCATGCAGCCGGAGATGGCGGAGGTGAGAAAGGCAGGATGTGAATCATTTGTGTCATTCCATGTGTATATGAATGCTGTGTTGTGACCATGATGCACGAGGGGCTGGGCATGCAGCCGGAGATGGCGGAGGTGAGTGCAGATGAGAGGAGAGACGCTTGCAGGCGGCCTTGTATTGTATGTGAGGGGTTTGAGGCATATGAGAGCAACTCGAGGTGCATAGGAACTGGTAGCACTCGCCCTTATTCCAATGTATTGAGTCGACTCAAAAACAATGCGTTCGTCTTGTTCAAATAACTGGTAGCACTTGGCCTTATTCCAATGTATTGAGTCGACTCAAAACAATGCGTTCGTCTTGTTCAAAGAACTGGTAGCACTTGGCCTTATTCCAATGTATTGAGTCGACTCGAAACAATGCGTTCGTCTTGTTCAAAGAACTGGTAGCACTTGGCCTTATTCCAATGTATTGAGTCGACTCAAAACAATGCGTTCGTCTTGTTCAAAGAACTGGTAGCACTTGGCCTTATTCCAATAGATGCTGATACATAAGTAGGGAGTTTTGCACATGGGAAGCTGCCACCATACGAATGCCTGCTCTTCCGGAAACCACCTTCGGCTTGCTTCCTTCCCACTCATCTTCCACCACCCAGGCAGAAGCGATGAGGCAGCAGCAGTATGAGGGTGCGTGGGTGAGTAGAGCGCATGGCAGCAGGTCATTGTCAAGAATCCGCCAGCAAACGATCCCCGCCTCCTCACAATCCCACCCCCCTGCTCCTTTTCCCCACCCTCCCCCACTGCCCAGGCAGAAGCACTGAGGCAGCAGTACGAGGGTGAGTACACGGCATGGCAGCAGACCACCGCCAAGAAGGCGCCAGCATACAAGTCCCGCCGCAAAGCCAAGCCCGCCCCGCCTCGCCACGACGATAATGCCCAGAAGAACCCCACAGGGACTACAGGGACTGCAGTGACGCAGGAGGAGTTTCTCCGTGCTGTGGCGACTGCTCTCGTGTCTGCCGTTCCCCTGCCCTCCGCCTCGCTCCATGCCGCTGCAAGGCAGTGCCGCGCCAGTGGTGCAGGCGACTACGCTGCTGGTCCCCATACGTGCTCAGGGGATGGGAGGTGGGAAGCGATGGAGGATGGCGAGGGTAAGGGTGAGGAGGAGGGGGAGAGGGAGGGGGAGGGGGATGGGCGGTATGAGTTGGCGTTTGTGCCTCTGGTGCACCTGCTGGGGCGGGCAGGAAGAGGATCCGTTGCAGATCTGGTGCTGGAAAATGAAGGGGGGGAGAAGAACGGGACGGAGACTGGGAGTGAGCAGGAGGATGGGGGTGGGTTTGGGGATGTGGATGCGGAAGTTGATGCGCCGAACGTGCAGTGGGAGGTGGTGGGGGGGTCCATCCGCGTGGTTGCGACGCAGCCCATTGCCAATGACGCGCCTCTGGTGCTGCCGCTGGATGGCGGGCTGTCGGGGCATTTCAGAGAGGCGCAGAAGGCCAGGGAGAGGCGGGTCAAGGCGAGGAGGCAGAGGTGGATGAAGGAGAAGGAAGGGCAGAGGGGAGAGCAGGCAGAGGAAACAGACAAGCAGCAGCAGCAGCAGCAGCAGCAGCAGCAGCAGCAGCAGCAGCAGCAGCAACAGCAGGGGGAGGAAAAGGAGGAGGAGGAGATGGAAAGCAACACTGGGCACTTAGAGCAGCACTGGGCCAGGGAAAGCAACAGGTGGCAGGGAGCTGGAAAGCAGCAGCAGCAGCAGCAGCAGAAGAAGAGCGCATTGTCACAGAAGCTTCAAGCACGGAAGCTTCCCCAGCCGTCGTTGATCCACGCCACACCTCTCTCTAATACAGATGCTTTCACCTACTTTGGCGTCGCTCCCAAATCGCTCTTCCTCGCCCAGTTCCCCCTCTTCGACTCCCCCCTTGCGGTCCTGCAAGCTGCTGCCACACAAGTGCCGCCCGATTTTGATCCCGATGCAATCGAATCCCAGCTCAAGATTGCGGAGATCGGCGCGAAGATTCTCCGGGCGGTGCGGAGGGTGAAGCGGAGGGTGGTTAAGGCGGTGGTGTGGGGGGCCAGGGAGGAGAGAGAGAGGTTGGGAGTGAGGGAGGAGATTGTGGAGAAAGTGAGAGTGTGGGAGATGCGGAGGGAGATGCGGGAGAGGATGGGTCTGGAAAAGGAACCTGGGGGAGGAGGGGGAAGCAAAGGGGGAGGTGGGGGAGGAGGGGGAAATGAAGGGGGGAGTGGGGGAGGAGAAGATGGGGAGGAGGAAGGTGGGGAAGGGGAGGATGGGGAGGATGGGGAGGAGGGGCAGGGGGGCAAGGGGGGGCAGGGAGGGGTGGATGTGTCATGGCTGGAAGGGCCGGCGCTGCATGTGTATTCGCTGGGTCTCATGGATCCCGAGATGGTGGCATACCTCACTGCCTTCGCCTACTTCTTTGCCACAAAGGAAGGTGTGCGTTGAGTGAGAGGGGAGTGCGTCTGTGTCACTTTTGTTACATGGCCACGTGGAAGGGAGGGTGAGTCGCCTTTTGCACAGGGGAGGGTTGCAACTGCTACACTGCCTTTTGCACAGGGGAGGGTTGCAACTGCTACACTGCCTTTTGCACAGGGGAGGGTTGCAACTGCTACGCTGCCTTTTGCACAGGGGAGGGTTGCAACTGCTACGCTGCCTTTTGCACAGGGGAGGGTTGCAACTGCTACACTGCCTTTTGCACAGGGGAGGGTTGCAACTGCTACGCTGCCTTTTGCACAGGGGAGGGTTGCAACTGCTACGCTGCCTTTTGCACAGGGGAGGGTTGCAACTGCTACGCTGGCTTTTGCACAGGGGAGGGTTGCAACTGCTACGCTGGCTTTTGCACAGGGGAGGGTTGCAACTGCTACGCTGGCTTTTGCACAGGGGAGGGTTGCAACTGCTACGCTGCCTTTTGCACAGGGGAGGGTTGCAACTGCTACGCTGGCTTTTGCACAGGGGAGGGTTGCAACTGCTACACTGCCTTTTGCACAGGGGAGGGTTGCAACTGCTACACTGCCTTTTGCACAGGGGAGGGTTGCAACTGCTACGCTGCCTTTTGCACAGGGGAGGGTTGCAACTGCTACGCTGCCTTTTGCACAGGGGAGGGTTGCAACTGCTACGCTGGCTTTTGCACAGGGGAGGGTTGCAACTGCTACGCTGGCTTTTGCACAGGGGAGGGTTGCAACTGCTACGCTGGCTTTTGCACAGGGGAGGGTTGCAACTGCTACGCTGCCTTTTGCACAGGGGAGGGTTGCAACTGCTACGCTGGCTTTTGCACAGGGGAGGGTTGCAACTGCTACACTGCCTTTTGCACAGGGGAGGGTTGCAACTGCTACGCTGCCTTTTGCACAGGGGAGGGTTGCAACTGCTACGCTGCCTTTTGCACAGGGGAGGGTTGCAACTGCTACGCTGCCTTTTGCACAGGGGAGGGTTGCAACTGCTACGCTGCCTTTTGCACAGGGGAGGGTTGCAACTGCTACGCTGCCTTTTGCACAGGGGAGGGTTGCAACTGCTACGCTGGCTTTTACACAGGGGAGGGTTGCAACTGCTACGCTGGCTTTTGCACAGGGGAGGGTTGCAACTGCTACGCTGGCTTTTGCACAGGGGAGGGTTGCAACTGCTACGCTGGCTTTTGCACAGGGGAGGGTTGCAACTGCTACGCTGGCTTTTGCACAGGGGAGGGTTGCAACTGCTACACTGCCTTTTGCACAGGGGAGGGTTGCAACTGCTACGCTGCCTTTTGCACAGGGGAGGGTTGCAACTGCTACGCTGCCTTTTGCACAGGGGAGGGTTGCAACTGCTACGCTGCCTTTTGCACAGGGGAGGGTTGCAACTGCTACGCTGCCTTTTGCACAGGGGAGGGTTGCAACTGCTACGCTGCCTTTTGCACAGGGGAGGGTTGCAACTGCTACACTGCCTTTTGCACAGGGGAGGGTTGCAACTGCTACACTGCCTTTTGCACAGGGGAGGGTTGCAACTGCTACACTGCCTTTTGCACAGGGGAGGGTTGCAACTGCTACACTGCCTTTTGCACAGGGGAGGGTTGCAACTGCTACACTGCCTTTTGCACAGGGGAGGGTTGCAACTGCTACACTGCCTTTTGCACAGGGGAGGGTTGCAACTGCTACACTGCCTTTTGCACAGGGGAGGGTTGCAACTGCTACACTGCCTTTTGCACAGAGGAGGGTTGCAACTGCTACACTGCCTTTTGCACAGGGGAGGGTTGCAACTGCTACACTGCCTTTTGCACAGGGGAGGGTTGCAACTGCTACGCTGGCTTTTGCACGTGGAAGGCCTTTTGCACGTGGAAGGCCTTTTGCACGTGGAAGGCCTTTTGCACGTGGAAGGCCTTTTGCACGTGGAAGGCCTTTTGCACGTGGAAGGCCTTTTGCACGTGGAAGGCCTTTTGCACGTGGAAGGCCTTTTGCACGTGGCAGGCCTTTTGCACGTGGAAGGCCTTTTGCACGTGGAAGGCCTTTTGCACGTGGCAGGCCTTTTGCACGTGGAAGGCCTTTTGCACGTGGAAGGCCTTTTGCACGTGGCACCTGTAGCAGTTGCCTTTTGGCAGGGAGGGTTGCAACTGCTACACTGCCCTGCCCTGCAGCACCTCCGATTCCTCACCTGCTTCGCTCCCCTCCCCTCCCCTTTGCCCCCCTTTCCCCCCCCCAGAGCCCCACTACAGCTTCTTTGCGCGAGTGAGCGTGGCCTATGCTTGGAACCTCGACGGCAAAACCACCTGCACGCACATGCCCCTCATCTCTCCTCTCTCTCCTCCTCTCTCTCTCCTCCTCCTCCTCCTCCTCCTCCTCCTCCTCCTCCTCCTCCTCCTCCTCCTCCTCCTCCTCCTCCTCCTCCTCCTCCTCCTCCTCCTCCTCCTCCTCCTCCTCCTCCTCCTCCTCCTCCTCCAACCCCCTCCACATCTCTCTATCCGAGTTCCCCCATCGGGACCACCTGCTATCCGCCCTCACGCCCGTGCTGAGGCTCGTGGCGAGCACGCTTAGAGAGCTAGTGGAGGCGCACTTAGCTAAGTACCAGGGCTCGGTGCAGGAGGACGCCATGTCGCTTTACTACGTGCCCTTCTGCCGCGTGTGGCAGCGCGCGGGAGAGAAGCAGCCCGAGAAGATTGTAAAGGTGAGGCTTGGGGAGGGGTGGGGAGGGATGGGAAGGGGTGGAGAGGGGTGGAGAAGGGTGTGCAAGTACCAGGGCTCGGTGCAGGAGAACGCCATGTCGCTTTATTACGTGCCCTTCTGCCGCATGGATGATAACGGGGCATGGATGATAACGGGGCATGGATGATAACGGGGCATGGATGATAACGGGGCATGGATGATAACGGGGCATGGATGATAACGGGGCATGGATGATAACGGGGCATGGATGATAACGGGGCATGGATGATAACGGGGCATGGATGATAACGGGGCGTGGATGATAACGGGGCATGGATGATAACGGGGCATGGATGATAACGGGGCATGGATGATAACGGGGCATGGATGATAACGGGGCATGGATGATAACGGGGCATGGATGATAACGGGGCATGGATGATAACGGGGCATGGATGATAACGGGGCATGGATGATAACGGGGCATGGATGATAACGGGGCATGGATGATAACGGGGCATGGATGATAACGGGGCATGGATGATAACGGGGCATGGATGATAACGGGGCATGGATGATAACGGGGCATGGATGATAACGGGGCATGGATAATAACGGGGCTAGAGGAGGTGGAGCACGTGGTGCAGCGGCACGTGGAGCTGTGCTGATATTCCCCCTCTTTCCCGCCTTGCCCCCCCACCCTTCCATTTCCCCACTCCTCACACATATGTCCCTCTTCCGAAGGCCTGCGAGCCGTGCATGATGACTGGGTTGGGGGAGGTGGAGCACGTGGTGCAGCGGCGCCTCAACCACCACCCTCGCCACCCTCGCCACCCTCGCCACCCTCGCCACCCTCCCTACCTCTATTCCCTGCATACAAACTCATGCATGCATGTATCCCTCCCATCAGATCTGCGAGCCGTGGATGATGACGGGGCTAGAGGAGGTGGAGCATGTGGTGCAGCGCCACCTCAACCAAAAGCAGCTGCTCGTGGAGGCCTCTGATTGGCTGCTGCTCTCCTGCGACCCGCGCTTCGACCTGCACCTGGGGGGAACGGGGAGCTGGGCGGCAGGGGAGGCAGAGCAGAAGAGGGGAGGAGGGGGGGGTGCGGTGGAGGGAGAGGGAGGCGAGGCAGGGGAGGTGGAGGATGATGAGGAGAGGAAGCTGAGGGCGTTCATAAAGTGGGTGCAGCAGAGGGGCATCAAGGAGTATGGCACGGATGATTCCCCTCTCAAGGTGAGCCCCGGTAAGCGCTGCATCCGTTTTGGGTTTTTGGTGAAGACCTCAGTGTGCGTTGCTTTCCAAGACAACTTTTGAGGCGCCTCAAAAGTGGTGAAGACCTCAGAGTGCTTTGCTTTCCAAGACACCATTCTGGATAGATACTTTGCTTTGCTACTCACTTACCATGACAAAGCGTCACAGTTCGGGAGCAGAGGAATCTTATAACGAAGCACTGTTCATTCCTACATGCTTTCTCCGCACCTCATACACATGCCATCCCCCATATTGTCAGTTCCATTTCTATGACCATCGCGACGTCGCACCATCTTTGAGTAACACTTCGGATCCATCTGCTGCCACCAACGCCTCTTCCAAGCCACGTGTCAGGTGTGCAGTGTGCCACGTGTCAGGTGTGCAGTGTGCCACGTGTCAGGTAAGCATTCTGCCACAGGTCTCTCCGTGACACACGTCAGTAAGGACGCGGCACCTGTTTGCCCCAAGGCAGGATCGATCGTTGGAGGGGATCGATGTGCCGTTTGTACAGTGCATTTGCAAGCGACATCGTTAGTGCCTGGTATCCGTGCTTCGCAGAACCTCGATAATGTACAGTAAACGGGCAACCAAACTGGTGGCACCTGCAGCTCGCACGATCGATGTGCCATGGTGGACACATCGATCTTGCGTTGAGGCGCCTCAAAACACGATCGATGTGCCATGGTGGACATATTGATCTTGCGTTGAAGTTGGCGGGAGAGCAGATCGGGAAACAGGTGACAGCCGCGATCGATCAGCGTCGCCCACGGTCGCAGGCCAAAAAATCCCAAGTCGTTGCGAATGAAATTGCTGGGCGACCAACCACGCTCTGCCCTGATTGGCTGCGCGTTGCAGTGTGTTGGTGCATTCCGACGCGGCTCCAACCTGCCCGATCCTGCAATTTCGATCCTGGCACCTATAGCTGGATGTGTCTAACCCACTGCAAATTTGCAGTGTGGGCACATCGGTGTGCTGATCGATGTGCCAGGATCGATGTGAGGCCCCGATCTTTCCCCGATCTTGGCAAAATGCAAACAGGTGCCGCGTCCTAAGCATTCTGCCACGTGTCAGGCAGGCAGGCATGCATTCTGGCACATCTTTCCTATCAGCATTCTTCTGCCACCTGGCACGTTCTCCTGATCACAGCCGTGTTTTCAGTCAACTCAAAACACCACTCACTGCTTCATATCTCCAGCTGTCTCCCTTGGTGGTGCCTGTCTGCCTGCCTGTCTGTTTCCCGCTTGCTACAACCTCTCGCCCTGTGTTCCTTGCGGTCATACCTGCCAGGCGGCAGATGAGCATGGTGGCGGGGCGGGACGTGCAGGCGGGGGAGGTGCTGCTGACCATTCCGCAGTCATTGTGGGTCACAGCAGAGCTTGCAGCAGAGGAAATGCCACCCCACACAGGTACTCATCAGCATAGGTACTGTGTGGTACTGCATGGCATCGCATTGTACCTCATTGCACCGCATTGAACCGACTGTCATGTTGCAACGAGAGACGTGCAGGAGGGGGAGGTGCTGCTGACCATTCCGCAGCCGCTGGGTCACAGCTGAGGTGATGCCACCACACCGCACACAGGTAACCTCCCTTTGCACCGTACTGTACCACATTGCACGGCCTCTCCTGCTGCAACGAGGGGGCTGCCTGCAGGAGTTGGAGGTGAGTAAGAATTGCCAACCCATATCACCCTAATCCGTTCTGCCTCCCCCTCGCTGCCTCCCCTGGTCCACCAGGCCTGAACATCCAGGTGGCCATGGCGGCAAGGCTGCTGCTGCAGGAATATATTCTTCGCTTGCTTGTGAAACATGTGTGAAAATACCAGCCTTTTTCCGCTCAGTCTTCCCTGCCATTCGCCACAGGACCGGTGAAGGTGAACATCCAGGTGGCTTGCTTGCAAACCCCAGGTTCAATCCCGCTCCGTTCCCCCATGGGGTACACCCACCAGGCCCGGTGAACATCCAGGTGGCCATGGTGGCGTGGCTGGTGCGGGAGAAAGCATAGCAGGTGAGTCACCTCGTTTCCTTTTTGAGGCGCCTCAAAAACGACCTCAATGCCTGCGGGAGAAAGTATAGCAGGTGACTCGCCTCGTTCCCCCTCTGACACACCTCCCTTGTGAAACAGGTGCTTCAAGCATGTAGTTCCCCTCCCCATCCCCCATGACTCGCCGCAGGTCCGGTGAACATCCAGGTGGCCATGGTGGCGTGGCTGCTGCGGGAGAAGGCGAGGGGGAGGCAGTCGGAGTGGTGGCCGTACATCGACATTCTGCCTCCCTACGTGCCGCTGCCCCACCGCTTCCGCAATGACTCCCTGGACGAGGCTCAGTCCGATCTCCTCAAGCTACTGGTATGCTCCATGCGGTTGCTTGCTCCATGCACAATGCGACGCACTGATCTCACCCTGTCGCTTCAGCAAGGTCGCTCAGTTCCGTCCGTACTTGCGAGGAGTAGGGGTAGTGACATCCGTAGGGGTAGTGACATCCGTACTTGCGAGGAGTAGGGGTAGTGACATCCTTGCATTATTTCCATGCTGCCGCCGCCATAGCCAACTCTCCCACTCTGACAGCATGTGTGAGCAGCTGGTGTGTGTCTGACTGAAGCTCTCCTCACCCTCTCCATCTCTCTCCATCACTCTCCATCACTCTCCATCTCTCTCCATTCCTCTCTGTCCATCCATCCTGACCCCGACCAGGTGCGCCCGCCCACTTAGCATTTGCATCATGTTGACTCTCATGCCTTCTCCGACCTCACCAAAGAGCTCTCCAGCCTGAACCTTCAAGTCGGCACCACAGGAGACTCTCGGTCCTTCTCTCTCCATTCCTCCCCTCCCTCTCCATCACTCTTCCATCCCTCTCTGCCTCGCCTTCCATCCCTCTGCTTGTCTCTCCATCTGTCCCCATCCCTTACCCCACTCCCACGTCCACCAGCACAGGGAGGTGGCATGGATGGACTACAACCAGGTGCGCCCACCCGCCAGGAGTTCTCCTGCCTCCTCTCCCCATCTCTTTCCTCCATCCCTCTCCATCCCTCTCCATCCCTCTCCATCCCTCTCCATCCCTCTCCATCCCTCCCTTCATCCCGACCCCCAATCGCAGGTCCACCAGCAGAGGGAGGTAGCTTTAATGGAGTACAAGCAGGTGCGCCCACCCGCCATGGCGTTTGCATCGTTGGACGACTACATGTGGGCGCACTCCATCCTGGACTCGCGCGCCTTCTCCATGCCCTTCAAGGAGCTCTCCGGCCTCCACCTTGAAGTCGCCGCCGCGGGGGAGTCAGGCAAAACGGGGGCGAGGAGCAGCACAGGGGGCGAGGGGCGCGAAGGGGGTGAGGGGGAGGTGGAGAGAGACGGGAGTGAGGGGGGGGAGGGGGAGGTGGAGAGAGATGGGAGTGAGGGGGGGAAGGGGGAGGTGGAGAGAGACGGGAGTGGGGAGGGGGAGAAGGAGAAGAGGAGGAGGGCGCGGGAGAAGCGGCGGAGGGCGATGGCAAATGCACCGGGCGAGCTGGTGGAGGCGGTGAATGATGCGGTGGGGGTGCTGCACGAGTCGCCCCGCCGTGTGGTGCGCGGCGTGGGCATGGCGCTTATTACCGCTGCTGAGCTGCTGGACCACCAAATCAATGCCTCCATCCAATACAATGTGAGTGCCAGTCGTCGCGCCGTGTGGTGCTGCTGTGGTGCGCGACGCGGGCATGGCGGTCACCTCCGCTGCCGAGCTGCTGGACCACCAAATCAACGCCTCCGTCTAGTACAATGTGAGTGGGGGATGGCAAGTGCTGATCCTTGAACATAGTTCCAGGGAGCTGCGGTTCCCTCACTGGCCGGCCGTCTGGCGGCCCTGGTGCGGCACACAGTCCATTGCGCATCACCGCTGCCGAGCTGCTGGACCACCAAATCAATGCCTCCATCCAGTACAATGTGAGTGGGGGCTCACAGTAAGTGCGGCCTCACAGTGAGTTGCCACAGTGGGTTGCCACAGTGGGTTGCCACAGTGGGTTGCCACAGTGGGTTGCCACAGTGGGTTGCCACAGTGGGTTGCCACAGTGGGTTGCCACAGTGGGTTGGCACAGTGGGTTGGCACAGTGGGTTGCCACAGTGGGTTGCCACAGTGGGTTGCCACAGTGGGTTGCCACTGTGGGTTGCCACAGTGGGTTGCCACAGTGGGTTGCCACAGTGGGTTGCCACAGTGGGTTGCCACAGTGGGTTGTCACAGTGGGTTGGCACAGTGGGTTGCCACAGTGGGTTGCCACAGTGGGTTGCCACAGTGGGTTGTCACAGTGAGTTGTCACAGTGGGTTGCCACAGTGGGTTGTCACAGTGGGTTGTCACAGTGAGTTGCCACAGTGGGTTGCCACAGTGGGTTGTCACAGTGGGTTGCCACAGTGGGTTGTCACAGTGGGTTGGCACAGTGGGTTGTCACAGTGGGTTGTCACAGTGAGTTGCCACAGTGGGTTGTCACAGTGGGTTGCCACAGTGGGTTGTCACAGTGGGTTGTCACAGTGGGTTGTCACAGTGGGTTGCCACAGTGGGTTGCCACAGTGGGTTGCCACAGTGGGTTGCCACAGTGGGTTGCCACAGTGGGTTGCCACAGTGGGTTGTCACAGTGGGTTGTCACAGTGGGTTGCCACAGTGGGTTGCCACAGTGGGTTGCCACAGTGGGTTGCCACAGTGGGTTGCCACAGTGGGTTGCCACAGTGGGTTGTCACAGTGGGTTGGCACAGTGGGTTGCCACAGTGGGTTGCCACAGTGGGTTGCCACAGTGGGTTGCCACAGTGGGTTGTCACAGTGGGTTGTCACAGTGGGTTGTCACAGTGAGTTGTCACAGTGAGTTGCCACAGTGAGTTGCCACAGTGGGTTGTCACAGTGAGTTGCCACAGTGAGTTGCCACAGTGGGTTGTCACAGTGGGTTGCCACAGTGGGTTGCCACAGTGGGTTGCCACAGTGGGTTGTCACAGTGGGTTGTCACAGTGGGTTGTCACAGTGGGTTGTCACAGTGGGTTGTCACAGTGGGTTGCCACAGTGGGTTGCCACAGTGGGTTGTCACAGTGAGTTATCACAGTGGGTTGCCACAGTGGGTTGTCACAGTGGGTTGTCACAGTGGGTTGCCACAGTGGGTTGCCACAGTGGGTTGCCACAGTGGGTTGCCACAGTGGGTTGTCACAGTGGGTTGGCACAGTGGGTTGTCACAGTGGGTTGTCACAGTGAGTTGCCACAGTGGGTTGTCACAGTGGGTTGCCACAGTGGGTTGTCACAGTGGGTTGTCACAGTGGGTTGTCACAGTGGGTTGCCACAGTGGGTTGCCACAGTGGGTTGCCACAGTGGGTTGCCACAGTGGGTTGCCACAGTGGGTTGCCACAGTGGGTTGCCACAGTGGGTTGTCACAGTGGGTTGCCACAGTGGGTTGCCACAGTGGGTTGCCACAGTGGGTTGCCACAGTGGGTTGCCACAGTGGGTTGCCACAGTGGGTTGCCACAGTGGGTTGTCACAGTGGGTTGGCACAGTGGGTTGCCACAGTGGGTTGCCACAGTGGGTTGCCACAGTGGGTTGCCACAGTGGGTTGTCACAGTGGGTTGTCACAGTGGGTTGTCACAGTGAGTTGTCACAGTGAGTTGCCACAGTGAGTTGCCACAGTGGGTTGTCACAGTGAGTTGCCACAGTGAGTTGCCACAGTGGGTTGTCACAGTGGGTTGCCACAGTGGGTTGCCACAGTGGGTTGCCACAGTGGGTTGCCACAGTGGGTTGCCACAGTGGGTTGTCACAGTGGGTTGTCACAGTGGGTTGTCACAGTGGGTTGTCACAGTGGGTTGCCACAGTGGGTTGTCACAGTGGGTTGTCACAGTGGGTTGTCACAGTGAGTTGTCACAGTGAGTTGCCACAGTGGGTTGTCACAGTGGGTTGTCACAGTGAGTTGTCACAGTGAGTTGCCACAGTGGGTTGTCACAGTGAGTTGCCACAGTGAGTTGTCACAGTGAGTTGCCACAGTGGGTTGTCACAGTGAGTTGTCACAGTGAGTTGTCACAGTGAGTTGTCACAGTGAGTTGTCACAGTGAGTTGTCACAGTGAGTTGTCACAGTGAGTTGTCACAGTGAGTTGTCACAGTGAGTTGTCACAGTGAGTTGTCACAGTGAGTTGTCACAGTGGGTTGTCACAGTGGGTTGTCACAGTGGTTTGTCACAGTGAGTTGTCACAGTGAGTTGTCACAGTGAGAGTGTGGGCTGGCACGTGTTGAGTTTGGCACGAGATCAAAGGTTCACGCAGACTTGTTCTCTATGCTTCAATACAATGTGTGCTCTCAAGGGCAGAGTTGCTGTGTGCTCACAAGGGCAGAGTTGCTGGATTACCAAGTCAAGTCAAATCCTCCATCCAGTACCATGTGAGTGGGGTGGGGACTGGCAGTGAGTGCAGGCCAGTGTTGAGTGGTTGAATGCATCACTGCAAGTCCCCACTCACATGTGAATGGAGGCTGTCAGTGAGTGGTTGTTGGTGGTGGTTGGTTGGTGCTGAGTGGGTGAATGCATCATCACACCTTCTCTCCTCCCTCCCTTTCTGTTCCCTCCTCTTCCCTCCCTCACTCCTTCTTCCCACCCCCCCACAGATAACGCACCAATTCGAGTACATAGCCACGCTGAACGTCTCAGCAGGAACAGAGCTTTCCACATCGTACGGTCCCAAGACCAACGACCAGCTGCTCGCCACCTATGGCTTTGTCCTCGACGCCAACCCCTTCGATGGGACCCCCCTCTTTGACAACCTCACACAGGCCGTGGGTGTGGTGGCGGCTCTGCTGGCGAATGGCGACAGTGGGAGAGGAAAGGGAGAGAGGAGAGGGGAGGAAGGACAGGGGGTGGGGGAGGGGGGAGGTGAGGTGTATCCGGGGGAGGTGGAGCTGAAGAGGGCTTTGGAGGAGATCTGGCTGACTGAAGAGCCGCCGGCAGCAGAGGAAGCTGATGGTGGTGATGGTAGCACTGGTGATGGGGGCACTGGCGATGGTAGCACTGGCGATGGTAGCACTGGCGGTGGTAGCACTGGCGGTGGTAGCACTGGCAGTGGCAGCAACGGTGGCCGTAGCAGTGCGGGTGAGGGTAGTGCCAGCAGCGGCAGCAGTGGTGGCGACAGCACCAACAGCAGTGGCGCCAATGCCGGCAGTAGCAGCAGCAGCAGCACCCCTCACGTCCCAACTCCCAGCAAATGGACACCCTCGGGGGCATCAGGCAAGGCTCTGTACCGCGACCTGCTGAGGGTGGCAGCCAAGGCAGTGAGAGCGGTGGTGGCGGAGGGAGAGGATGGCAATTACACTGAGGCACTCAAAATGCCTCAGTATAACCTCAAGCAGCGCGTGAATGAAGCTGCGTGGAAGCGCGTTGGTAGGAGCAAGGAGGGGGAGGAGGAGGAGGAGGAGGAGGACAGGAGTGGCTGGGAGCAGCAGCAGCGGCGGCAGTGATGGTGATGGTGATGGTGATGGTGATTGTTCTGCTGGTGTTGCTGGTTCTGAGGGTGGGCGTGAGGGTGGTGGTTTGGAGGGAGGGCGTTGGGACGAGGAGGAGGAAGAGGAGGAGGGGAGGAAGAAAGATATGAAGGAGAGGATGAGTGAGGAGGTGGAGGTGTCAGTGTGGGCGTATGGGGTGGTGGAGCCCACTCTACTGGCGTCACTAGCAGCCGTTTGGCACGTCATGCACTACGAGCAAGGTGCGTGCGTGCGTGCGTGCGTGTGTGGTCAAGAGTGCTGTTCTGGAACAGTGGCTCTGTGCAGTGCACTTGTTGTTTCATGCACGCTGGAGTGACTGGTACCGAACGGCCACGTCGCATCTGGTGCTCTACGAGCAACGTGCGTGCGTGCCCGGTCAAGTGCGGAGGAGTGACTGGTAATGGCCATACGCGTTATGGCATGGTCTAGTGTTGAATGGATTATCAACGAGCAACGTTTGTCTTGAACGCTCATCTCAAGGGGACGCTCATCTCAAGGGACGCTCATCTCAAGGGACGCTCATCTCAAGGGACGCTCATCTCAAGGGACGCTCATCTCAAGGGACGCTCATCTCAAGGGGACGCTCATCTCAACAGACGCTCATCTCAACAGACGCTCATCTCAAGGGACGCTCATCTCAAGGGACGCTCATCTCAACAGACGCTCATCTCAAGGGACGCTCATCTCAAGGGGACGCTCATCTCAAGGGGACGCTCATCTCAAGGGGACGCTCATCTCAAGGGACGCTCATCTCAAGGGACGCTCATCTCAAGGGACGCTCATCTCAAGGGGACGCTCATCTCAAGGGGACGCTCATCTCAAGGGGACGCATGCTGCTGGTGGGTGGCGAGAGCAGCCGTGCGGCGCCTGGTGCACTGCACAGCGAGCAAGGTGTGCGGTCAAGAAAGGTGCTCTTGGTCACTTATCTGGAACACTCCCCCTTCCCCCTGTTTCCCACCAGAGCCACACTACGGCTGAGGCATATCTGCTAGCAAGGTGACTTTTGAGTCGACTCAAATCCCATCAGAGCCGCACTGGTCTACGGCTGGGGCGTATCTGCAAGCAACAGGACCTGCCTGCACCTCCTCCAACCCAACTCACCTCCCCCATACCCTCCCCACCCATTCCCCACCACAGCCGCACGGTACTCAACTGGTGCTGGGCTCTGTGCTGTACGGCTGGGGTGCGTCTGCCATGCCAACAACAGCACCTGCCTGCACCTCTTGCCAAAGTCGCCTCTCCCCTTCCCCCTCCGCAAATCCCTCTTTTTCCCACCAGAGCCCACTAATGCTCAACTGGCGCTGGGCTCTGTGCTGTATGGCTGGGCTGTGTGCTCTATGGCTGGGCTGTGTCTGCCATGCCAACAACAGCACCTGCCTGCACTGCACCTCTTGCAACCCAACTCGCCTTTCCCCCATCCCTCTCATACCCCCCTCCCCCTTTTCCCCGCCAGAGCCCAACTATGCTCAGCTAGCGCTGGGCTGTGTGCTGTATGGCTGGGGCGTGTCTGCCAATCAAACCTGCCTGCACGTCCTGCCAAACTACTCCACCCTCATGCCGGCCGTGGTCGCTGCGGCCGACACCATTCGTCTTCTAGCAGAGTATCGGCTGGCACGCTACCCGACCACCATGGAAGAAGACGACGCTGTGCTTCGGAAGCTACAGTCCTGCCAGGCCTGGGGCAAAGGCTTGGCGGAAGGCTCGGCGGAAGGCTCGGCAGGAGAAGGAACAGCTGGGACGGGCTTATCTGGGGAGGGTTCGAAATCCGGTAAGGAGGAGGGGAGGGAGAAAAGGGAGGGGACAGGGGACGAAGAAGATGGCAAAGAGGCGAGGGAAAGGGAGGAGTTCCGTGCGTGGTGTGTGCCGATCTTACCAGTGGTGGAGGAGAGGATGGTGCTGGTGCGGTACCGCCGGCACAAGAAGAAGGTGCTGCGCTCTGCGGCCTCCCGCCTCCACCACTCCTGCGTGCTCCCCTCCCTCACTGCTGCTCGTGCTGCTCCCCCCGGTGCTCGTCGCGGCGCTGCTGCTGGTTCGGACCACTCTGCTTCGGCCGAGGCTGATTCGGCCAATGCTGGTTCTGGAGAGGTTTGGTCTATGCCTGGTTTGGTTGGTGATCCGGCCAGAGTTTCAACAGACCAGATCCAGGAAAAGTAATTGTTGACGGAAGGAAGAAGACGGGCGTAGGCGGGAAGGGAGGTGGGAGGGAGTCAGGTGGGGTGGGGGGAGAGGGGGCCGGGGGGGGGGGGGGGGGGGGGGTGTCAAATGTTGTAGCCTATAGTGAGGTTTGTCTTAGGGGGTACAAAACTTAGGGTTAGCTATATGTACCCCAACCAACATCAATGCATCATCCATTCTTCATTCTGACATGGTATCAGTTAGGTTAGGATCCTGTGGGATCCCGTTCCTCCGTTCTCCGTTCGAGCCTCCCGAGCCTGATCCTAGCTCTCATTCGTCCCGGTTCCGTTGTTACCGCGCGTAGTGCCGCGCCTAGCGCCACTCCTAGCGTCGCGTCCTGCCCGCCCTTTCCCCCTCGTCGCGTCCCTTTCCCCCCGTCGCGTCGCGCCCTTTCCCCCCAGTCGAGTCGCGCCCTTTTCCCCCCGTCGCGTCGCGCTCTTTCCCCCCGTCGCGTCGCGCCCTTTCCCCCCGTCGCGTCGCGCCCTTTCCCCCCGTCACGTCGCCCTGCCCCGTCCCGTCGCCCTGCCCCGTCGCGTCGCCCTTCCCCGTCCCGTCGCCCTGCCCCGTCGCGTCGCCCTGCCCCGTCGCGTCGCCCTTCCCCGTCCCGTCGCCTCTGCTCCGTCGCGTCGCCCTGCCCCGTCGCGTCGCCCTGCCCCGTCGCATCGCGCCCGCCCTTTCCCCCGTCCCGTCGACCCTACGCCCTAGCCCGTTCTTCCGCTGCGACTACGTCCCCCCCCCCCCCCCACCTGAACCCTAATTTGCCTCTTACCTCCTGCTGTTACTCGCCTGCTCGTTCGCGTTAGTTCTCGCTATGGCGACTCCGCGAGTTCTTCGTTTCGACGCTGACGGTAGACCTCTTGACTTTTCCGTCTGGCTTCTTCGCGCTCGCCGTCTGTTAGAGAGTCAAGTCCAGGGGGGCGAGACCCTCTGGTCGCACGCTACTGGTGACCTCCCCGAGCCCCCCGAGCCTGCCGCTTTAGGTCCTGCCCCTGACGATGCTGCTACGGCTCGCTTTGCCCGTCAGCGCGCTGACAGGACGGCTTGGACGTCGCGTGACGCTGCGGCCTGCATCGCACTCAGCAGCCTCCTCCCTGAGTCAGAGGAGGTCCACTTCACTCAGGTTCGCACCGCTGCTGCGTACCTCACTGCGATTAAGGCCCGCTACTCTACTCCCGCTACTGTCTCTCTTGGCCGTCTTTTCCTCCCGTTCCTGTTTCCTGATCTCGCCTCGTTTGAGCGCTCTGCTGACTTGATCGCTCACCTCCGCTCGCTCGACGCTAGTTACCGCGCTGCTTGCACTGAGGCACAGCTTGCACTGCTTCCTCCCCCTATGGCAATTACAATCTATTTCATCGCCACTAGCCTCCCTGACCGCCTTGCCTCCGTTCGCGACGCGCTTCTGCTGAAGCACCCTAGTGAGCTCACCGTCGATGTCCTTGAGTCTACACTCAAGGACGTCGAGAGCAACCTTCGCTCGGTAGCCGCTGCCTCTGGTGCTGTGCCCCCCCCACTCTTCCACGGGTGCACAGTCCCGCAGTTACCCACCTTTACTGCCTCACTTGCCACTGCCGCTACTGACGCGACTGCAGCTGCTGTTACGACTGCGTCGCGGTCCCGCGGTAGGAGTGGCAAGAAAGGCGGTTCTGGTGGTGGTAGTGGAGGTGGAGGCGGAGGTGGTGGACGCCCGAGTTCGGCGCCTCCTGTACTTCCTGCCTGGTGGCGGCAGGTCAGCGTCAGAGCAGCTTCTCAGCCTCCTGCAGCCTGGAGCAGGGTCGGGGCTGGCAGACCCAGCTGCGTGCAGGTTCTGACAGGCCCTCGTCGTGGCCACCCTTGTGGCGGTTTCACCCCCTTGGTCAGTGCTTTGCTCAGCTCACTGACACGGTTCGTTTGGTCTACGGGGTTGGTGCTCCTGCCCCTGACTGGCTGCCTCTTGTTCAGCGCTACGGCTCCGCTCTGTGGGGCATGTCTGCTGAGCAGTTAGTTGATCTGATTGGTACTCCCCATGCTATGTATGCTGTTGTTGACTCTAGTGTTTCTGACTCTGCTTACTCTGGTGTTGTTAGCTTAGGTGCTAGCCTTGCTCAGTTGCCTGTTGCTAGTGTAGGTTCTTGTGTAGACTCTAGTCCAGCGGCTACCTCAGAGGACGGTTCGCTGTCGTTCACGCTGGACTCTGGAGCCTCTCACTGCTTCTTTCGTGACAGCACGACACTTACGCCTCTTCCTGCGCCTGTTTCTGTGGCGCTGGCTGATCCCACTTCGGGACCAGTCACCGCGCGTCACACTACCACCTTGCCGTGTCCGGCTGCTCCTTCTGGGTCTCTCACTGGGTTTCACGTCCCCTCGTTCTCCCGGAACTTGGTGGGCGTGCGACCCCTCGTGAGTCAGCACGTGGGTGTGTGGTTTGAGCCTTCTGGAGAGACTGCGGTGTGTGTTGACGGGGACTCTTACCAGCCCCTCGCCACTTTTGCTGCTGAGCCGGGCTCCGGTCTCTACACTCTTCACACTCGCCCGCGCGCTCAGCAGCGACTGCAGCAGCAGCAGCAGCCGCAGCAGCAGCAGCCGCAGCAGCAGCAGCGGCAGCAGCCGCAGCCGCAGCCACAGCGGCCGCCGTCGCAGCAGCCACTCCTCCCAGTTCCTGTCCCTCCCCCTAGTCTCCTCCCTGCGTCTCACCAGGTGGTTCCGTCCCCTCAGGTTGTCGCGTCCAGTCCAGTCGCTGCGTCTTGCTCCTGTCGGTCGCTTGCCCACCCCACCGTTCTGTGGCACCACCGGATGGGACACCCTTCTCTTCCACGTCTGCGTGCTATGTCTAGTCAGCGTCTGGTCTTAGGTCTCCCGCGTGTCTTGCCGTCGCTGCCGCCGTCCCTTGCACCACCGTGCGGTCCTTGCGTCGAGGGTAGGCTGCGTGCCACCCCTCACTCCTCCTCCCTTCGTCCGGCCACCGAGCCTTTTGAGACGCTGCACTTGGACGTCTGGGGCCCCTCTCCTCGCCCTGGCCCTGAGCGTGAGCGTTTCTTTTTGGTGGTCGTTGACGACTACTCCCGCTACACCACAGTGTTCCCCCTGGCGAGGAAGTCTGAGGTGACTTCTACGCTGATCAGGTGGTTGCTTACCACCCAGGACACTCGTGGTCGTCGTGTCAGCTGTCTCCACTCCGACCGCGGGGGCGAGTTTCGCTCCGGCATTCTCGCTGGATTCTGTCGCGAACAGGGCATTCGTCAGTCCTGGACGCTTCCGGAGTCCCCACAGCAGAATGGGGTTGCTGAGCGTCGCATAGGCCTGGTCATGGAGATTGCCCGCACCTCCTTGACTCACGCCCGTGCCCCCCATTTCCTGTGGCCATATGCAGTCAGGTACGCCACGCACCAGCTGAACCTCTGGCCACGCGTCTCTCGGCCGGAGGCTTCACCGACCAGTCTTTGGACAGGGTCCCCTGGTGTCGCGTCGAGGTTTCGTGTCTGGGGGTGCTTGGCTCTTGTCCGCGACACCTCCGCGGACAAGCTCTCGCCTCGCGCCGTTCCTTGTGTCTTCCTTGGTTTCCCTGAGGACTCCTCTGACTTCACCTTTTACCACCCTCCCTCTCACCGGTTCTTTGACTCCCGTGACGTCCGTTTCGAGGAGTCCACCCCGTACTACGTCAGGTACCCCAGTCGAGGTCTCCCGGTTCCTCCTCCCCCCCTCTTCCTGACAGCCGCTCCCCCGCCTGCTCCCCCGGTACAGCCTCCCCCCCCTGGTCCAGCCCCGTCTGGTGTGTCTCAGGCTAGCCCTCCCCCTTCGGTAGCCCCCCCTGTACAGCCTCCCTCCCCACAGTCTTCCTCACCGCCTCCTGTAGGTGCTCCCTCTCGGGAGGTTGGTCCTGCGACTGTCCCTGTACAGGTCTCTGGTTCTGGGGGTGCTGGAGTTGGAGCTGAGCCGCGGGTTGCAGAGGACTCTTCTCTTCCGGGGGCTGGTACTGGTCGTGCGGAGTCTGGGGGTGCTGGTGCGGAGTCTGGGGGTGCTGCGTCTGGGGGTGAGGGTGTTCCTTCGGTTTCTGGAGAGCCTGGGTCTGGAGCTGGTGTTGGTGCTGCCTCTGGGGGTGGTGTGCTTGGTGCTTCGGAGGTCGACTCTGGGGCTGCCGCTGCCCCGGACACTACTCCTTCCCCCCACCCCTACCCGACCAGGTTCCAGGCTCGTGTTCGCCGTGCTCGTGAGGAGCAGCTGGAGTTGGAGAGAGAGGAGAGAGAGTTGCAGCGGCTCGAGGAGCAGGAGCGACAGCAGCAGGGGCAGCAGCCGCTGGAGCAGCAGCAGCCGCAGCAGCCGCAGCAGCAGCAGTTGCCGTCTCCTCCTCCTGTCTCGGGTCTTCGGACCCTTGGTCTCCCCTCTCCCTCTCCTTCCTCCTCCCCCTCTCCTCCCGTCTCTGGTCCTCCGCTTCCTCCTCCTGACCCCTCTCCCGCTGTTTTCCCTCCGTCCTCTCCACCCCTCTCCCGCTGTTTTCCCTCGTTCTCAGTCTTCGTTGTCCCCTCCTCCTTCTCAGACTTGGGCCTCTCGTCGCTCCCCTCGTGCTCGTCCCTCGTCTCCTGTTCCCTTCACTGACCTTCGTACTGCCTTACTTCGTTCTAGTCCACCTCGTCCGTCTCCGTCTGTGCTTCCGTCTCCTCCTGAGTCGGCTCTCACTGCGTCGCTCCCTACTCCTGTCACTGACTACTACCGCACGTACCGTCCTCTTCTCTCTCGTGTTCTCGCCTCGCTTGTTACTCACCCTCGTGCCTCTGTGTCCTCTGTGTCCGCTCTTACTGCCGCAGTCACTGAGTTTGCCTCTACCCGCCGCCTTGACTTCGCCACCGCTCTTGTGGCTGCTCCTCCTTCCAGTCCTCTGGCCGTCGGGGGTGTGTCTGCCCTTGGCTGTGACGCCCTAGAGGACAGGCAGTTTGAGCTAGAGTTCCTGGCGGCCGCTTCCCCTCATCTCTGTGCCATGCTCCTCGCCCCTGAGGGTGACCCCGACG